ATATTATACAACACATGAACGCTACAAAGGAAAAAGAACTCCAGCCAAGTCGATTTTGGAGTAGATTTGCCAGAATTTGGATGCCTTCCAAAAGGATTATACAACTTACTCCATTCCTCTTTGACTTGGCCCTTTCGTCTCTTAACATATTTTGTTTTACTTAATTTCAGTATCATGAACTCATCATGTGGTACAATTCAAAACTATTTTTAAACGTAACCTTACTGTTTTCCCCTGTCGTCTTCATTTGTCGGGGGAAAAAAAACTCAGCTCAGAAATTTCTCTTCCACTACTCACATGCGGCCAAGTATGACCTGGGGTGGTCAGTCTTCAGTTGTTACCATGCTGTACGCCTCTTTCTGTTTTTCATTACAGCAATTTAAAATCAACAAACAAAATTTTTAAAACCCCCAACAAACTAGGATAAAAAAATACACCTTCAAATGACTTAGTACTAAATAGGAACAGTTTTTAAAGTGCTAAAACAAGTGCTATAGTTATGCTAATTTCGGGTGTCACGTCCCTTGATAGCGTTACTGTCTACGAGTATAAAACTATAATTGCAGCGGATTTTCGCTGAGTAAAAACCAATAATTGTGTGTGGTGCAGACAAGCACGGAAAGATCATAGTGAGAATAACTAATGTGACCTATGCTCTTGCCTGCACTTTAGCACACGCCCACGTCAGGTTCGAACATTAAGTGTGAGTATGCACGTCAATTTACCACACTGACCACTGTTTCAGATTCATTCAGCTTGACAAACACAAAATCTGCTACAGCAAAAAATTCCGTGGAAAACATGAAATATGCATCCGGCAGATTTTATTTCAAGCCTCACATTTAAATTTTGTATTTGGAAAAGGTGCGGGGATGTTTCTATTTTATCGAAGGGCAGGGAATTTATTTGCGGGATCAAATGTTAACCAGTTGAACGGTATTTGACCAAGGTCGAGAGTGTTTGGAAGTCAGTTAAAAACGGTTTTGATTTCAGTGAAGGCAAATGAACCGTGCTCAGAGCAAACTGTTTTAATTTACTCAAGTGCTTTTAGACAGAGCGCTGAATTAATGCTGATTAATCGTTGCTATCCTCTGCTCCAGAACCAATGGGCTGAATATAGAGTTGCTTACAGCAAATCACCACCACTGCTGCCACCATCACCATAAGAAGAAAAAAAAGAAGATTAAAAAATGACCACGACGTCCATGATGACGACACAAAACAGCAACAACAGCAGAAGTAACAACAACTACGACAACAACAACAATGTCATCCTTCTCCTCATTATTTTCCTCGTGGTTTAAAAAAACCCCAAGCAATTGTGGAAAAACACACTATGTCAAACATTTTTGTTACAACGGAATTCAGGGGCATTATCTAATACCCATTCGTAAGCTCAAGACCAAATTTATCCATTTCCAATGTGGGGGACGTCTTCTGGGTTTCTTTTTTCGGGGGGGGGGGTGGCTTTATTTTGTATCGCTTTTTTGTTAATGTTTTTTTGCTTCCACGGTTGTCTTCATTCTGTTTCATTTACTTCCTTTTCTGCCAGCTTTAGATAGAATTCTTCAAAGTCAAGAGAGCCTGCAAAATACAAACGGACCAGGAAAAAAGCGATTTGGTAAGTTCGAGCCGCCACAACTGTTTCGTCTGCAGTTTCCTTTTACAGACATTAAAACTCCCAACGTCAAAAATGTGTCAAAGGTTCATGTCCGGGGAAATCATTGTTATTGCAGATTGTCGTAAAATGATATGTGCTATACAAGTACAGTGCACAAGATATGTCTTAATCAAAAAGTTATCATTCACCCATTGAGACATAATAATATGGTTATTACTTGCATTTGTTTCATCGAAGACGAGTGACAGACAGACAGACGGACAGACGGATAGATCGACAGACAGACAGACAGACAGACAGACCGACAGACAGACAGGGCACCTGTTAAGTTTTCTTCACTATCAATTTTTTAGAGCAAAGAATTTTTACTACCTTTTATACAAAGGGACTTCCAAAGAGGAGTACTTTTAAGTTCAATTATAATATTAATAGGTGCCTCGTTTTGTTGCTATTGACCATAATGGACCTTTTCATTTTTTAATCCATAAAAATATATTTTAAAGATACGTAATTTTTAAAATTTTCTCAATACCGGTTCTATGATTCTTTAAATTGACGGTTCAGTTCGAGAAACCCGTATGCCAATATTTTATTTAAAAAATCGACTTTTTTGCCTTTCTGTGGCCACTGATCTTTCTCCGTCCCATATCTTTCCGATGAGAGGGTCGGACAGTAAATAAGTTATTTACAGCCCAATCCTCACATCGAAATAAATGTGACACGGGAAAGCAAGAAAATCGATTTTTAGATGAATGCGGCATGCGGGTTTCTTAAACTGAACCGTCGAAATATTTGAAATCAGGCTTTGAATATCCCCTCTACATGTATCAGAAAGAAACTCCCATAAAATCATGTGACTATGAAGGTAATGACTGGTATCTTTCCATCTTTGTTCTTCCACAGGTTTGCTTTTGTGCTGCAACCATCCCCCCACGTGAGTGAAAATAGTGAAGTATTTTTACAAATAGCTTGAGCATAAAGCTTCAGTAAGTTCGGCTTTCCATTACATTTTGTTTTTAATGGTAATTGTTTTACGGCGCTCGCAAATGCATAAGGTCGTATGGGCACGCAGGACACACTAAGAATTTTCAGTTGGAAGGACATTTTGAATTTTGCCCTTGTGGCGGCCGAAGTCTACTCTTATCGATTTTGGACCACCGAGGGATCTTTAACGTTTGCAATTTGCACACGGGACCTCCTAGATGCTTCACCTTTGTCCGAGAATGCTAGGTGTAGATCTTTCCAACCTTAAGAGCAGGGGTGTGGCTGAAAGACAGCAGTAAGAAGGAGCCAAGGAGTAACAGTAGAAAGGCTGCAGACAAAATCAGAAAGGCAGAGGAAGGGGGCAATGGAGGTGACAGGGTGGGGGCAGAAAGTGGAGAGGAAAGCAGACGACAGAACTTTACTAGAGAGCTGGAAAACAGGTGAAAGAAGTCAATTTTAGAGAAGAAAAACTTCCGTCGCTATCCAGATTCGAACCCGGGACTTATTGAATGAGAGGCGAACACCGTAACCTTTTTGCCACGAGAGCCCCCCCCCCTCCCCCCAAGCGGCTTTTCATTTGAGGCACGAAGATGGAAACTACTCCCTCCCGCCCCTCCACTCTCTCTCTTTCTCTGCCCCATTCTCGATCTTTCTCGCTCACTCTCACACGCCCCTCCAGTCTATATGTGTGCATTTGTGTGTTCGTTTGCTTGTTTGTTTGTTTGTGTGTGAGAGAGAATAGAGTGAGGTAGAATTAAGTATCAGTTTCTTTATTTTGTTTATGTCCTTTCTGTTTTCGATGGGAATGAAAATGAGGGACGTTCTAGCTTGTCTTTTAATCTATTTTTTTAAATTCAGAATGCGGTGCTGTCGTTTGATATTCATTTGTGGATTTCCCCTTTTTGACGCAACGAGAGAAGACTTACATAGCCTGGTAGACTGAATCTATATTCACTGTGCATAATATGCTATGCGGCCTTTTCTTTTAAAGCCCTCTAGGTAGCTTTTTGGGTGATATTTCAATGCTTGTCCACTGAGTCAAGGACTGTTTTCATGGAGTGCACAGCTCTAAAAGTCACTGGAATGAAGTGACATTTACTCGCCCTTGATCTACGATCCATGCTACTCTCTCTAGCTGCTTATAGCCGTCCCTTTCTCATTTCTACTTTTCGTTTGCCCTTTCTGATAACTTTCTGGCATTTTCTATTTTTCTATTTAATCATCTCCCATTCATCCCCCTCCGAGCGCTTTTAATTCATAAATCCACTGACGCTTTCGCACTGTTAGTGGGGTGAATGGGTAGGCCTACATCCGTGTCATTTCCCAGACTAAGTCCTCTTGTCATACATCAAACGCTGTGTTTAGAACTTGACGTTTTCAAACAAATTAAATGTTAAATGAACCCTGCTCAGAGTATGAAGTGGACCATGACCCTTTCCTGCTAAAAGCAATGTTATTTCTTTAGCGTGGTTAGTACTCTAGCCACGAACTATTAAATTATGCGAATGTCAATAATAAAGACAACGACAGCGGTAAACGCAAAGACACATAAAACACCTCATGCTTGATTATTTAACTGTTCTGTAGTGACATTTCTTTTCAAAATATTCGTTTGGTAATTAACTAGTACTGAATCACGGGCTACAGAAAGAAACATAACAAGCAGTTCGAAACAACAAGACATGTTATCATTTTAAACGCTATAAATTGTCAACGTTATGACATTCAAGACAAGCAGGAGTCTGCTCTTTCCAAAAAAATTAAAGCCACGGTATCGGACGGGGTGCCCACTACGGACAGGATCGGCCGATCGAGCCGATCGCACGACTCGATCGCCTAAAAAACAAACGTGTTTGTTTTCAGTTTCATGCGATCGAGTCGGGCGATCGGCACGATCCAGCTGTAGTGGGCACCCCGTACAATGAGGTGTTCTGTAAAGTTCTGTCTGATACCGAGATTTTTGGCTAATTCGTTCTGTACTTTATGTATACTATGTTTCCTATCTTTCTTCTGGAACCGCAGTTAATTTTGCACCCCCCACTCTTTTCTTTTTATCTTCTTTGTTTTGATTTCCTTCGTTCATGTCAAAACAAAGTCTACGCTACTGAGGTTGTTTTGTTTTTTTAATTCATCTGATTTTTCATCATTTTGAAGGCAAGCCCCGCACTATAGAATTTGGACTATTTTTCTTAAATGATAAAAAAACCAAACTGAAAAAGGCTGACCTTCACTGGACAGAGTGGTAAAACAAACACCTCGGTAGAAGTTAAAGTGTGAAAATTTGTATTTTCTGTTCTAGAGAATTTGTGGTATATGAGTAGGATATATAAGTCAACCGCTTGTTAACCTGTACAGAGAGAGTTAATTTTGCTTGCGATATCTCTCTTGCGATATCTTTCTTGCGATATCTCTCTTGCTCACGCCAGCGCTATAAATGAGTCTCCAATGATCGTTTTATTTTTAATCAGGCTTGAGCCAGTTTTCATCTGTTGGCCTGTCAGCCAAGAGACACTTTTCGTGACTCATAGATGGTACTTAATATCAGTTGAATCCTGGACATTGCGCAACATTTTATCAGATACATGTACTATAATGGTTCCAGGCGATGTTAGCTTTTTAAAAGACGTTCTTCTCCTCTCTTCCGACCTCATAACCTATTTCCAACGCCATAATCCTGTTTGCGCAGAGGCGTCTTTTGATTTTACTGCACGGGTCCTTTAAAACTCGTTTACGTACACA